TAAAAAAAATTTAACTACCCGAAAATAAGCAACTTTATAACAAAATTACGTTGCTTATTTTCGGAGGAATACGGTATATATTCTTGTTTCCTAACGCGGCCTATCATATTTATATATATATATATATTTTTGCAATCTACACAATATGAAGAAAAAAAATTAATTGATAATTCATAATTTATATAAGAAATTTTAATTATATACTATACCATCACTTTCCAAGAATCCTTATCAAAAAGATTAATTTCATTGATGTTTATAACTTTAATTACACAATTGATAATATTGTTGCAGATTTTTGAAGTCTATATGATCAAGCAAATATATTTATATCAAGATAGTCATGTCATTATAAGGTAACTTGACAATTGCACCTCCAAATATACCTTCATTATTTCTACATCTTGCTGGCTTTTAGTCTTATTCATTATTTTGATTTATATAATTTTTATGAAATACTTATTTTAGTAACCATATAAATTTATTGTTATAAAAAAAAAAATTTTATTATTTTATTACATAAACTATATGAAATTTTATGTTATTATCTTATTATTAAATGCAACAATAAGAATTATTTGTACTAAAATGATAATATTTCTTATGAACTACCATACTTAAAAATGGTATACAGAATATTATTCAAAAAATGATGATAAAATTATCCTAATTATTTAATACCTTTAATAAAATTAATAATTCTTAATAGTAGTTCAAAATCTTACTCAGAAAAGGTTTATTTGATATAAAAAAAAAGTTTACTGACTTATCTAAAGAACACTAGTTTTAAATGATTTTGTCATATAAGCAAGAAAAAAATATATTATATTTCACTTATAATCAGCCTATATTAGAATAAGAAGAAGAAATAGTTATAAATTTATTATATTTTTATTATGTTCTTTTTTTTATACGATCAATCAAATTTTGGTACAAGACTTATAAATTTTTAAAATTATAATTAGTCGTCTTTCAATACTATAGTCTTTCTCTCTCACTTGTTTTATATCTCGACAAAAATTTAAATAGACTATCTTGGTTTTCTTTTCTTTTTTTGTGATATATATTACATCAATGACATTTTCCTATACACTGAAGAAATATTTTGAAGTTTTTTATTATTATTATTTTTATTATATTCCTCTAGTATCCAAATATATATTATATTTCTTCGCTAGCAAATTATACTATATTTTTTAATACAGTACCTTGATTAATGAGTAAAAGCAACAGTTCTAAATAAAAATATTAGATTGCTACGATATAAGTAATCAAAAAAAGTAATTAAGAAATATTAAACAGAAAAAAATGAAAGATACCACCCTTACTCCCTATCAACGTCATTGGATATTAAATACTACTTTGTCTTGACGTCTAATCAAATGAAATATAAAAAATGAATATTTTCATGAAAAAATAAAATAAGATAAGCTAAATTAACGCTTTGCATTGACTATTAATATAATATAAAGCGATTTATTATCGTAGATGTACCTATTTTCCAAATTTTGTTGCCATATCTTCAAGAATATATAATTAAGTATCAAGATAAAATTGAATATATGTATCAGATTAAAAGCACTTATAAAAAAAAAGTTCGTTGAAGAGTTCAAGTGGTATATAAATCTTTACATAATTAAAAACCAGATTGTTGATATAATTTTAATTAAATGTGTTTCATTATAGTGGAAAAAGTATTTACGATAACTGCTGAGGTTTAAAAATATTATTTTTTTAAAAAATTTTCTTTCAGAAAAAATTGATATAAATTATAGCTTCTAAACTTGTCCAATTTTCAAAATTTTTTTATTTTACCTTATATATTTTTTTTTTATTTTTTTAAATTAGATTTCGTATTATTATCTTTGATACTGCGCTGTTATAATACTTTTTGATTTTTTTATATTTTCTTTTTTTTTCTTATTTTTTTTTAGACGATTTTCTGGGTTCAATCGCACTGGCCGCAGCTATTTTCGTAAGGAGATTTTTTTTTAATTATTTAGGTTCTTCTTTGGGTTGATCACTTCAGACGTATTTGATTTTTTTTATTTTTTCACTTCTGCTTTGATCTGATATAATTTTTTGGAAGGTATAATTATCTTTTTAGGTTATTATGATTTAAAGTAAAAATGAGATTGAATTGTAATGTGTCTATTATTATAAATGTCTTTTCTGACTCGTAACAAGATTATTTTTAAATTCTCACAAAAGAAAGGGTCTATCAAATTTTTTCTGAGGCCTGAAAACCTAGAAGCAAACTAGTATCAAAAAATAAACTAGCAATCAAGGTTGTACGCATGAGATCTCACAATTAATTATTTTTTGTAAGATTAAAGCAGGTCAAATAATTCGATTCAAACATGAAATAAATCAAGGTATATACAGAGTATCATCAATTTCTTCGATTGTTATATAAATTTAATAAGTTGTTATTTTATTTATACTTTTAACGTTATGTAGCATGGACGGACGGTAAAAAGTTGATTAAATGATGGCTTTAAGAATATAATTAACATGCTAATACTGCTAGTATAGGAAATCTTTGTTTATTCTGATTCCACCATTCAAAAGGATTAGTGAAAGGATCTGCTTTTTCTATAATATTTTCATTAAGGTAATTATCAACCTCTTTTTTTTACGTTTTTTGATTTTTTATGGAGTATATTAAAAATTAAATCATCTGCTAATTGTTTCTAGCAGTTGATAGCACTTCTGATTCTTCATTTTGATTTAACTCAAATTTCAAATATTAATACATCTGTTGCAATTCAACTTCAGTTTTTATTTTTAAATCATCATCTAAAAAAAAGTCAAGATTTTTGTATATAAGATCTTGATAGAATTGTTGAAAGTAAAGCATATGATTAAGTTTTTATCAATAATGGTCAAAAAACTTAATGATTGTTATTAATACTCTTTTAATTATTAGATGAAAATTTGCAGCTGGTTGAGATTTTTGTAATATATCTTTAGAGATATTCTGTGATTTTCTTAATAATTCATTATAATTAATTTTCTTTATTTTTTTACATAAATTATATTTATAAGGCTTAATAATGACTGGTTTATTGCTTGTTTCATCCAATTCTATATAACCTAAAGTTTCATTTTCTTCTTCTAATTCATCAGAAAAATCTCCATTCATATTTTCTACAAAAGTAAAAATGTAAATTTATTGTATCTGAAAAAATTATAAAAATAAATAAAATATTATTAATTTTAATAACTTACCATTATCATCATTAATAATAATATTATTAATTTCATCATATAAATCATCAAAATTAATATCATAATTTTTCTCTAATTTTGTTTTATAAATTAGTTTTAATGTTTGAACAACTGATAATATTGATAAAATCATCGCATATTCAACTCCACTAAAATTAGTTGTTACTTTATCAAATGGTTTAAAAAGCTTACACAATTTATCTAAAAGAATCTATTCTTTTTTATAAAGCATAATTTTTTGCAATTGTTCTTTATCAAGTTTATCATTTTTGTCTTCTTCAAGATGCAAAATTGCATTTAGATGAATAATAATAGCCCTTTTAGTTCAATTAACTGTTTCTATGACTCATATTTAGAATTTCAGCATGTTAATAATTCATTGATATTTTTAAATATAATTGTAGTTAAATTTTCAAGTGGTTTATCATTAGGATCTTCATTTAAAGTTTGAAAGTCATTCAAACTGTTTTAGTGATTAAAATAATTTAACTAACTTTCTGTAATATTTAACTTATTTATTAATTGATTTTAATGTATTAATAACTATTAACTATAATATATAGGCTACATATAGTAATCTTTGTATCTTATCATTCTTTTGATTTAAAATATTAACAATAGATTTCATATTATTTTATTTTCTGATATCACATAAATAATCTTATTCTTTAAATGATTCTTTATACTTTTCTAAATATTAGATATATAGTGTAAAACAAAAAAAAACTGAAATTTTTTAAATACATATTACACAAAAACTAATGATACTAACTATATAAATTTATATATTTGAAGCTAAAAACTAATTAATTTTATTAATTTTTTAGAATGGAATTTGTTTACCATTATTTTCTACAATAAGCTTATATTGGCATTTCATTAATCTTACTAATCCAATTAGAAACAATTCTAAAATATCATTATTAAGCCTAAACACTACGTCATTAGGATAACAAAGCTTATTTGCTAATAGAGAGTTTAAGTCATAAACTATGAAAAAAATAAACACAAATTTATTTAATTTGAAAGGTCAGGTCGTCTTTATTGATGATTTATATTTTAAGGAATTAGATATTAGCAAAGATATAATTTTTAGGTTGTTAAGATTATACTTTATTAATTGTATAATAAAAACTTGTTATTTTGTCAAGGTGATAATATAAGATATTTATATAAAATACAATTATAGAAAAAAGATAATAAATATAATAGTGAAAGTAAATATAACTATGATAATAAAGATAATAAATAAAATAATGATAAATGTAATAATAATGAAAATGAATATTACAACGATAACTGTGATAGCAGTGAAATCAGTGAAAATAGTGATCACGATTTTCCTAGTGATTATTGGTGACATTAATTAGCGCAGTTATTTAGTGATGCAAATGGGTTATTACTAATAACTTCCTCCTCTAATATCTGAGCTCTTGCGATTATATTAGCTTTCTGTACAAGCTTGTTCACGATTAATACAAAAGAGCATTCCTATAGTTGTATGCTTAATTTGAGCAATTTGGTCTATTCTAATTAATTCGTATAAGTAATATACACGTATGACTACTTTTCGATAATATGGTGAGAGAAGGTTCATATATTGAGCTCTTTCAATTAATAATTCAGTCTTAGTTTTAATAGCTTTTCCCATATGCTAGAGAACTATTAATATTTTGACTCAATTTCGTAAGCTTTTGCTCTTCTAAGTTGTTAAAATAGAGATTCACTTGTTGTAATGCAGTATCATTGTGTTGATAAAAAGGAGATAAAATATTCAGATAAAGTGGTTCAGTTTGTTGTAAGTCTGCAAAATTTGATTATATAAATCCATTTTTAATTTTGGGAAAAAGGGGTAGAATTCAATCAATATCCACTCTATTTATATAGATTTTTAATAAACTTCCATTTACAGAAGTTTTGAGGACTTCCCATTTAATTCCCTAATATTGTAAGCTCCGTTTCTAATTACATCATGTATATAATATAGTCCTTTCCATTTTGGATCTAGTATTCCTGACTATTGCTTATCTAGCATTGCTTTGTAATACAAAACTTGATTGCCTATTTGGAATAACACAATTTTCTTTAATTTTTCATCATATCGATCTTTCTGTTTTTGTTGTTCTTTTTGTAAATTTTGTTAAACAGTATTATGAATAATTGGCAGCTGATCTAATTGTTTTTTCACATGATTGAGCAGGAGGGGTTCCTCCTCCATTTCTATACTATCCATTGGCAATTTAGTTTCTTATCCATATATAAAGAAGAAAGGTGACATTTTTGTTACCGAATGTTCATTTATGTGATAAGCAAAAAGTGCAGGAGGCAATGAAACGATCCCAATCCTTTTGATGATTAGTAGCAGTTCGCGTAAGAGTTTCTATTAAAGTTCTATTAAATCTTTCAACTAATCCATTGGTCTATAGATGATATGGCATGAACATTCTATGAGGTATTTCAAATTTTTGTAATAATTCATGTAATAATTGATTGTTGAATGAGTACCATGATCGATAAGTATTTCTCCAGAACATCCATGTCAGCAAATTATATCTTCATATATAAATTGTACAGTTGTTTTAGCATCATTATGCCTTACAGGCTTAGCTTCAGGCCACTTGGTTAAATAATCCATAACAATAATTATATATCTGTTTCCCTTACTGAAAATTGGTAAAGGTCCAACATAATCTATTCCAATATGGTGAAATGGTTATCCAATTGATATAGAATGTAAAGGTTCTATCCTTGAGGCTCTTCCTCTTTTCTGACAAGAATCACAGGATTGCATATAGTTTAATATCTTCGAACATTTGAGGCCAATAAAAACATTTTCTAATTTTCTCTATCATCTTTTCTTTTGAACTATGAGCAGCAGTTGGATTATTGTGAAACATGTAAAGGACAGGTTTTAATTCTGTTTTCTTGAGTACTCTAATTAGATTATTTAGGTTATTTTTATTAATTTTGTATAATAAATTATGTTTGATAATATAATGTTTTGATAATACATTCAATTTGTGTTGTTATATTTGGTTAAGAGTAGTAGGGTAGGTTTGGTTAGTTAAATAATTAAATAGTTAATTATATTGTTATTCTTCCATGGTTAAGAATTTAAGCTGTTTATCATACTGTAAACACTTTCACTTTCACTTAATTCTTGTATTATATCAAGGGTTAATTTAATAAGAGGGGGAAAGAGATGCATTATCAATATCACCAAGGTGAAAGTGTAATTGTGCACAAAGGTTTTTCTGTTGTACTAAGAAAGGTTCTTCCCACCAGAGGTCATTAGTCAAATATTCTAGTTTCATGTCTGATTGAATTTTTCCTAAACCATACCCAATGACACAATCATAGATGATAGTTCTATACAATAAATTTTTCTTACATACTTTACAATATATGTGAACATGATGGTTTTCAGTATCACATGAAAAAGTGCATTGTGATCCTCCTTTGGTAATGGGTTGTCTAGCAATTACTTATTTAATCTTTATGTTTTTACGGTAAATTTCCTCTAGTTCATTATTAGAAGATTTATACCCAATGGCAATAATTAAGACAGTATTATTGTCAAGACAATTTCTCTTCAAACTATTCATCATTTTCTTCAGATTCAGGAGAAGAAATATGCCATTCTATCTCTTCTTTATACCAATGTTTTCATCCTCATCATCAGCTATATCCGTTTTAGTAAGATCAATAATGAAACATTTAGCAGTTTCTTCATCATATATGCGAGACAATGCATCTGCATTTGCATTATATTTTTCTGCTCTATGTTCTATGGTAAAATGGTGTTGTTGCAATTTCATGATCCATCTAGCACGTCTTCCTTTTGGCATTTTTTAGGTTTTCAGCTATTTTAAAGCAGTATGATCAGTTACGATGGTGAATAGTCGACTAAGATAATGATGTAAATGCTTTATTAACCAAACAATTGCTAAATACTCTAAGTCAGTGATGGGATAATTTTTCTCAGTTTTGTTGGTCAACCTGCTAGCATATGCAATAACATATTCTTTTCCATCCTTCTTCTGAAATAATATAGTACCTAATCCTTTCTTTAAAGCATCAGTGTATAAAATAAAAGATATTTCAAAGTCTGGATACTGCAAGATTAATGTTATAATAAGTCTTTCCTTTAATTGATCAAAGGCATGTTGTTTCTCATTCCATTCAAAGGGCTGATCTTTCTTCAATAATAAGGTCAAAGGTTTGGCATGTTGTGCAAAATCTTTAATAAATTTCGATAGTAACCAAATAATTCTAATGCAGCACATTGTGACAGGTAAAATTTTAGATAGATTTAATTGGTAGAATAGGAAATCAATTTTATTGCCATATAGATCTTCTATGAAGATCATTTTGTCCATTTTATTGCCATCTATCAATTATGTAAATCATTAGATGTCAATTTTATTGCCTTTGATAATCAAGTAGATCATAGATGTCCATTTAGTTACCTGCAGATCTGGCAATTTTATTGACACAGCAACTTTATTGCCTAGCAAAATGGCAACTTTATTTCCTTCGATATATTTAGTTTAGTTTATTTTATTATTTATTCAACATGTATAAATATCTCTGTATTTTCTTTGAGTCTCAGCACTGACGAGATCTTAATCTTTTAGGTACTGAACTTATTTATTATATCAATAAAGGAGTATAATTAACCAAGTATTAAACTTATCCTTCGCAAACCCTTTAAAACTGTTATATATTATCTGTGATTCTTTGCATTCGTGCAATCCCTTTTGTTAGTTAACTTATTATATAATATTATATTGATTCGCTGTATTGACTTGGAGTCTTTGAATCGTAATCTCTAAAATATCTTTGAGTTATCTTTATATTTATTTTGTATTTATCTCACGTGTTTATTATTGAGAATAATTCTTTGACATTATTGTGAATTCTCACCTGTGATCTCTTAAGTAATTGTCTTAGTTTTATTTATCCTTTTGAGATTTTATTTGAAGCTACAAAACTCAACGTAACAATGTAGTTGAGTTAGACTTTTTGATTCTAGAAATTCTTCAATTTTTTTAATTTTCTCTGGATCAGGTTGAATTCCTTCTTGTTCTACAATATATCCTAAGAATGCTAAGAAAGGTTGACAGAAGTAAC